TCAATGTACATTGCCAAAGAGCCACAGTAATACATCAGCAGCCCCCCCCATCAGCTCCCCCTCCCATCAGCTCCCCCCCCCCACTCCCAGCACCTCACACCCACCGACAGCTCCACTGATCAGTGCCTTCCCCTCACAGGGCCTGTGACAGAGCCAGGGGTTGAGCAGTGAACACCCCAAGGCCCATTGGAAAGTTGGAGCTTGTAGCTCCAGCCCTGGAGTCGGTGCCTATACAAGGAGCTGTATATTTACTTCTAAAGAGTTACATGTGGCTCCGGAGCCACTGGTTGGCCACCTCTGCTCTACAGTGTTTACAACCAGGTCCGGCTCCAGCACTTGTGCCGCCCCAAGCAAAAAAAAAAAAAAGCCGCGATCACGATCGGCGGCGGCAATTGGAAAAAAAACAAAAACAAAAAGCTGCGATCGGCGGCGGCAGTTCAGCGGCAGGTCCTTCTCTCCTAGAGGGAGTGAGGGACCTGCCGCTCCAGAATTGCCGCAGGTGCTGCTCCTCTCCCTTGGCCGCCCCAAGCACCTGCTTGTTAAGCTGGTGCCTGGAGCCGGCCCTGTCTACAACATGTATTTCTTTCTCTTTAACCCTACTGTCAAATCTGTAGACTATGCTCTAAGCTATATCCCTGCTGTATTACTGCAACCTCTCTTCTCTCTGGACTCTACTTCTCATCCCTCTTATCCATCCCTCTTATTTTACTGCTTTTCAGACAACAGCTTCCCAATTCTTCTACCTCCGCACTAGTTTCCTCTATTCTTCCCATATAAATAAATGTCAGACTTCTCTTCTCATTCAAAGAGCTCCATATCTCCACCCTATCTCTCGGTCCATAGTTACCTTTTACAATACTCCTTACATATCATCCAAGCGTCCCTCTTGACTACTCCCTTCATCCCCTTTTCACCTTCTTGGTGTCTTCCATGCTTCCCTTTACATTTGAAACATCTTTGCAATTATCCAAGTAAGAACAACAACCCACTTCCCTTTGCTCCTTGAAAATAGACCTGAGAACTGATCTGTTCCACAAAGCAATCTCGCTGGAATGGCTGCATGCTGGTCTACACCTTATTGTTCTGTATGGTCTCTAAACTCTTCTGCACAAGGACTCTGAGCATTGTTTGGCACACACTAACTACTGAAGAACGCTGTGTCCATTTGTGGTGCAATATAAATAGCAGCAGCAATAATAATAATAATAATAATGTTTCAAGTCCAGGTCCTTATGAGTGCAGAGCATAGTCCCACAGAGGAGGACATATCTCAGATATGGTTCTGATCCTTCACTTAATCTTAGCTGAAATGATGAGTTGCTTCAACAACACTACACGCAACAACACACCATGTGTGTAAGAGAGCTTAGCTTAAAGGGTTTTCAGCACTGTGATGCCATCCTCTCCCACCCCCCAGCATCCTCATTTAAGCCTCACTCCCGCTCCCTCGGTACATCCCCAACTGTGGTCTGTTGGCTTGGCACAGAGAGCCTAAGGGCAGATTTGTACCCTTTCCATTAAACGACAATGGCAGCTCAAGACAATCTTTATTAAAATCTAGTTACTGAGAGCTTTGGGAGAATAGCCAAGGTATACAATGTTACATCCTTCCTGAAATAAACTAGCACAAAGGGCTTGTTTGAATTGTTTTATGTACAGGTTTGCATAAGAGATATATAGCCTAAAAGGCAGGTAGGATCTCTTTTTCTCTTTGACTGATTGATAAATTATAGTATCCCTTTCTTTTCACCTCCTCTTGTGGTGCAACTTTGGCCACCACTTCTATGCAGACGGGCACTCTGCTTCTGTCTCTCAGTGACATTCCCAGCCCTCCTTTTTCTTTGCATCTTAGATCTCTGGTACCGCTCCATCTTCTTCCAGTTTAGGGTCAAATTCTGTCACCAGTCACACTTATGCTACCCAACTAGATGCAAAGAGTTTGGAGGCCATTGACTTATATAGGTTTTGTGGTGGGGGTGGAGGGAGTCTCCAGATAGGGTGTCCTCTTCCCTACCTCCTGGGCTCGAGAACTTGGGGTCTAATCTGAAGACAGCAATCGGTGTCCATTGATCCTGATCTTTCCATTAGCTACCGTAGTTGCAGGCCCCGTGCCTTGACTCTAAGAGCTTGTCTACACTTAAGAGTTGACACAGATTATGGTAATTTAAAGTGCAACCGCTTTTCCTAAATAACTCCATGTGCAGACACTGTTGTTCCAGAATAAAAATATCCATTCATGGAGTTAATCGGGATTTCTTAAGCAGGAAAAACTTTGTTTAAACAAGTCCTAACTCTGCTTAAATATTAATCATTGCCATCATCACTTCCCAACTGAACGAGTGAAACCTACCCAGCCTGCAACTGAGACCTGGTAAGCAAACTAGAGTGTCAGAGATCGGTTTGAACCAAAATTTCAGATTCAAACATTTCCAAACTTTAGAAGAATTCAAAATTGGGACCAAATCTGAATTTTGCACTTCAGGCCCTTTCTTTTAAATATGTTCCAAATATAACTGCTAGTATTTTGTGATGCACTGTAAGAAGGATGCTATAAAAAATCGGCTGTAGTTTTAAAATCATTAATGACTACAAAGGCAGGTTGGAATGCACTGCATACCAAGTACAGTATACTATAGCTATAAACTAATACCTTACTAAGCCTCTAAAGAAACTTTCCTGTGGGGCATACGTGAAGCTTGACATGTTTTTCCTAACTGCACTGAGGACTAGATTATGGGGTTTGTTTCGTTCTCTCTCTCTCTCTCTCTCTCTCTCTCTCTCACAGCAAAAGTGTTATCCCCAAAGTAAGTGCAGATTGTGTTTATTTATGGCACTTTTGGCAGTTCACAGAAGGATAAATTAATTGAGCGAAGGATAACCAAATCGTCTTAATCATTATACATTATATACACATGCTAAGTCAAAGTCAAAGTTCTAGCCACACCTTAGATATACCTCAGACAACACTCCAGTCCTTCTACCTGAGCCTAAATGAATTATCCAAGTATTTGATTTTAGTATGAAATGTACACTTAGTATAACAGGAAAAATATTTCAGAATACAATGCATAAGGCTTCTCCAGCTATCACTGATGTGTCTGGAATTGTTCATTCTGACACACCCATTCACAGATTTGCACAACTGGAACCATTAATTGGTGCTCGAGTAAACAAGAGGTAAACATAAAAGCACTGAGGTGACAGTGTCTATGACAAATGGATTTTGTTAGATTCCCAAGAACTAGCTAGTAGAAAACCAAGGTGGAAGGATAATCGTTTCCTTCCAAACCAACTCAAGGCAATTTCTGTTACAATGGGACTCTGTTAAAGGCACAGCTATTTCCCCCAAACACCGTGTGCCTGCACCACATCAAATTTTAAGGTCATTTTGTCTTCCTGGGCATCTGATTTTCAGATTTTTAAAAATTGTGTGCTTTTATTTCTGAAAGAAGTTATTTATTCTGGTGTTGGTAGTCACAGTATAAAAGTATAGAAAGCGGCTTACTCATCTCCATCAAACTCCTTTGTTTGCTCCAAAACCTCACTAGTTAACCCCAAAAGAAAGCTTTAGAGATAGGTCAGAAAAATGCACCATTGCCATAAAACCCCTTCCAGATTTCAGTCACAGTTCATAGCAGTTAAGTTTCTTTTCAGCATGCCTGTCCTAGTTTTTGCATCCCAACCCTGTATTCATTAGCCTTTAGTTCAGCTTGTGTGAACCTAATAATACAGCTATTGTATGCCAGGAGGGTTGGGCTCCCCCCCACCAACTGTCTGTTTTACAACATTGGTATAGCAAAATAAATAAATAACAGCAGTTTCTACAGTTTAATTTACAACAGCTCTGCTGAAAATCAGTTGCCTATTGTACTTCAATTCTTAGTTTAAACTTAACTTTGATGATCTACAGTTAACTTCTCAAGTATTTGTAGCTGTGCTTAACATACACTCTTTTTTCTTGCATGTAAAAAGAAAAACAGCACAAGTATAATTTGGTATGATTTGCACTGGAAAATAACATAGATAATAAAACTTTACTCAAAAATGTGCTAGTGTGACAAGCAGGCTTCTAGCTGGCTGGCTGGATAGCAGCTGCAGTCTGAAGCATAACTTATTAGCAAACATTAGACTTTTCATTCATACACTACTTACGTATCTCTGCTAGACAAAGCTGCAGCAAGCATAATCCAAAAGTTGCACACAACAAGAACTTGCTCATTGTTTCTTCAGAGTTACTTTGCCAAAACTAAGGAGATCCTTGAAGGGTGCACAAATCAAAAAAGCCTAGTTCAGCCTGCAATCAATGAGCTCTGAAGTTTGCTGCGGTTTTTATTCGGATTCTAAAGAAATTGAAGCAGTGACATAACAGGGAGGGGGAGCTGAACCAAAAGTCACACCCATGTCGAAACAAAACTAGACAGAGCAAGGGGAGGGGGTGAGGGGAAGCTACTGAGTAAGCAGCTCCAGCAGGGTTTTAAAGAGGCACCAGAACTTTTACTCATGAGTGTAATATTACCGCTTCTCAGGGCCGCCAGAGGGGGGGCAAGTGGGGCAATTTGCCCCAGGCCCCGGGCCCCAGAGGGACCCCCACGAGAATATAGTATTCTATAGAAATGCAACTTTTTTTTATGGAAGGGGCCCCCGAAATTGTTTTGCCCCAGGCTCCCTGAATCCTCTGGGCGGCCCTGCTGCTGCTGCTTCATTGGAAAATTTCTGCAACATCTCACGAGTTAGCTGACTGACTTATCAGCATCCACTCCCTTAGCCTGTTTAAAAACCTCTTTATTATAAGAGGCAGGAGAACATAAAATATCTGAGTTTTAGAAAACCACCAAAGCATCTACAACTCTCAGAACATTTCTAAATGACATTTTTCTCTTTCCATTTTCTCTCCCTCATTTTCCAGTGAATTTAGCACTGGTGAAAAAGCACTAGAGTGACAGCACAGGGGTATGGTGTCCAGGTGAAGCACAGGTAGATTAGATTTCCTTCACACTTACCTTCTGCCAACATGCTTCTGTTCTGATCTGGAGAGACCACCACTGCAGAAAGTAGGAGGGTACAGCTCAGTCTCCATGGCCCATTCAATTCATGGCCTCTCTGCAGACATCGCCAACAAGAAAGGTAAATAGTGCCAGTTATAATGGTGGGTTGTTTTGTGTCAGAGACATCAGACACTCACCGGGAGCTGGGTTGAAACCAATGATTCCTTATTTTTATGGGGTAAGGGGGAAGGACTTTATTACCAAAAGACAATGGAAGAGTCAGTGAAAGTATGCCACTTTCTATTTTCTATATGTGCATATACTCATTGCAGTGTGGGGTTTTATGTTAATGTAATGCGGTTGAAAGGTGCCAATGAATGTTTATGCAAGGGAGAGTACAACGTGGGCACTGAAAGTGTAAGCTACCACCATCCTGCCCTGTCCTGTTCATGCAGCACAGTCCATCCATACCTCCATCTCCCATCTGATATCAGTTATAGTGGCGGCTCACATGAAGTAGACATCACTTTACTCAGCACTGGGCAGATACCACAATGCCCATTACACATCAACCTTTAACAACGAGGAGATGGCAATGGCTTTCAGTCACTATTGATAATATTTAGTCCTGCTTTGAGTGTAGGGGACTGGACTAGAAGACCTCCTGGGGGTCCCTTCCTGTCCTACGATTCTATGATTGATTAGGGCTAGATTTCAGTGAGCAAACTAGAGATTAAAGTTTCTGTATCATTTTACTATTGATACTGTTGAACCATCTGTTCCACACATTAAAGATCTTTTATATACATTTTTAGTTTTGCATAAGATAAACAATAAATAAATATAAATAAATAAATTAATGGAGATATCCCATCCCATCTCCTAGAACTGGAAGGGACCTTGAAAGGTCATTGAGTCCAGCCCCCTGCCTTCACTAGCAGGACCAAGTACTGATTTTTCCCCAGATCCCTAAGTGGCCCCCTCAAGGATTGAACTCTCAACCCTGGGTTTAGCAGGCCAATGCTCAAACCACTGAGCTATAATGAAAAAGTACAGAGCACAGGTTCTCCCAGCCACAGGCACTAAATCTTTACAGAACAAAGGAAATTTCAGGACTTTCACTTTTTAATGTGATTTGGGAAACAACACACTGTTTCAGGATGAGCCTGTAAAACTTAGCAGGAGACCCAGTGCTTTCACATACAGGGGAACAGCAAGTTCTCAATTGGCAAATAAAGGTGCGTTCAAGGACACTCTTAAATAGTCTCCAAAGGAAAGTGATGGAAGGTCCCAATCTGGGGCACCTTTCAAACTAGGTTGGACAAATCCCTAGGAAATGTATTATAAAGCACTGGATTAGGCCAGGATGGTGAGAGACAATGAATGAACTGGATCATCTAATAGGTCTTTCCATTATCTAATTCCATTATATGAAACAGAAAATCCAGAGTGAAGTTAGGTTCTGGGAGTATTTACAATGCAGACATAGTGAATATACTGAGAGCAGTGACTGCTTTTGTAAACATTTCTAATAAATCATACTAAAAGATGGCTGGCTGCTCCTTCCTCAGCTAGCCCCAATTTTAGCAGCAGCTCTAGGATATGTAATGGGACACTGTCAAAGTGGAAGCCTTTCCTCATATCATGCAGAGTTTTATTTCTTATGTATCTTACAACTTCAAAGTTACACTTTAAACATATTTCACTGTGTGTATATATTGATTTCTCTTTGTTGAGGCATGTTTTCTAATCTTTTAATCATTCCCGTGGCTCTTCTCTGAGCACTCTCCAATTTATCAACATCCTCTTTGAATGGGGACACCAGAACTGGTCAGAGTATTCCAGCAGTGATTGCACTAGTATCAAATGCAGAGGTAAAATAACCTCTCTACTCCTTATTGTTTCAAAAGAAAATGTGTATTGTTCAAAGGCTTATAGCCTGTTGTGGGTGTATTATATCCTGTATTTCTCCACTTGCAAAGCTATACTGCCTTTGGACTATGGGCCAGATTATCAAAGGTTTAGGTGTTCTAGGATGCATATAGACACCTAGTGGGATTTTCAAAAATCTGGCCCTATGTGTCTAATTGGCTTCACTCATTGGAAGGAAAACATATAACTAATGTTGTAAAAACTCTAAAAAACTACATGAAACAGCTGTTTTTATACATAAAACATCACTGTTTTAAGGCCCAACCAGTGTTAGAAACAAAAAGCCAGCTCTTCAGCTGCTGTAAATTGGAGCGTTCCATTGACTTCATAGAAACTATGCCAATTTACAGTGGTTGAGGATCTTTCTCAAAAGCCTTTTCCCTCTGGAAATGGGAATTCTTGGCTTTCTATTGGAATAAAGCTTCCACTTCTAGCCTCTATGGGTCCCAAGACAACAGATCATAAACCCGTCACTCATCTAGGACTGAATATTGTCTTTCCTGCACCTCAGAATAGTGTAATTTTGGGGAAAATCCCACACTGGGGTGGGGTTTGGTTGGAAAATATTTCTTTGGTAGATTGTTGTATGGGACTGTACAGGGATTTGGAATGTTATAAGTAGTCCAGGTGCATAGATGGATTAGTGCATAGTTCAAGAGAGGCAGCCAGAGGTACATGATAAATGCAATTTATCACATGGATGTCATCTAATGTGATAAACGGCAGAGCCAGGTGATAAATTGCATTTAGTATGTACTTTTTTCCACCTCACCTGCCCTCTGCCCACTAATTCATCTCCCTGGGACTTATTCTAACATTCCAAACTATTAAGCAGCTTCAAACAGTTGCTTTTAAACAATACCTGCCACAAAACTATTTCCTTCTTTTCCACCCAAATGTGGAATTTCTCCCCCAAAAATACATTGGCCTGAGGCGTAGGTTGATCACAATTTAGCTCAGATTTAGGGTCCACAATGCTAGAGGGCTAGAAAAGGGAGCTTTGTGACATCGGAGAAAGGAGTTGCCTACCGTTTTAGTGGAACATGCAGCACTTGTGTTTAACCTGAGACAGCACCATGACATAGGCACATAAAAACCCTGGGCCAGATCCTCAACTGATGTAAATCAGTACAATGCCATTGACTATGATGGTGCTTCACTGATTTACCAGAATTGAGGATTTGGTCCCACGAAATTATTAGGTACCAAAAGGATATTTCTATAGGCAAATCTTAGAGATTTCTAAAATATATTTCTTAGAATTTTTTTACTCCCTCTGTCCTCTGTACAGTTGAATTCATGGCACTAAAAGAACTTGGCTACAAAGACAGAAAAACATCAAAAATAACACAACTAAAAATGTTAAACTCTCTCAAACTTTTCTAAAATGATTTTTCTGTAAAACATCTGGAATATGGTATAGAATGCAAAATGGTATCAAGTACTATAGAAGTTTTACCATTCATTCAAGTACCTGAATAACTCATTCTTTGTTTCATCATTCATAGTAATGTAGCCATCACCAATTCATGCTGATAAAATCATTATTATGGATTCTGGATATATTTTTGACCTCCAGTGAAACTGTGTATGTGACTTACAGCAGTATAAAAAAAGATATTTGCACTGGGATCCTCTTATAGAGTGAAATTCTGGTCCCATTGTAGTCAATGGCAAAACTCCCATTGATTTCAATGGGGTCAGGATTTTACCATGGTATTTGTGTTATATGCATATAAAGATGTATACCGTAATGTGTATATTAGAGTTTGTCAAAAAATTTCAGTCAAAGTGGACTTTATTTATGGGAAATAATTTCCCCATGAAACAAATGTTTGCAACAAAAAATTTCCTTTCTGTTAAAAAAAAAAAAGAGAGATTTTGTTGAAAAAAATGAAAGCCAAAAAATTTTCAGTTTTAACATAAAATTTTCCACTTAGCACCAAAACCTAAAAATATTTCAAAGAAAAAATATTTGTTGATATTTTTTGTGGGAATAAAAATAATTTCCCAACCACACACACACACACACACACACACACACACACACACACAGAGTATAGATG